TTAAAGTGTATTTTTTGATAAATTTGAAATCTTCTTTATAATAATACATACATACATACAAATTAATACAATTATAAATGCTCGATTTGATAGAAAAATTCGTATTTTTTTAAGAAAATAATTATTACGTCGAATAATTGGGTTTAATGAAATTTTTTGTATGACAGATAGATATGGTAGTAATATAGCTAATAGATTTTTTCGAATTGAAATTCTGTAATACGAGACGGAACATTGCTATAAATTTGCTCGGTATGTTCTACCTTATCAGTAAAATCGGCAAGCGATTCACGTTCGACGTAACACCCATTGATCCAATGGGCACGTCCGCGATTACGTGATACTTGATATTCCATTAAAGAATACAGATATGTACATCTTTATGTTACGCGTGGTTGTAATTACAATTTTCCTTTTTTCTTACTTTAAAATTAATCGAATCTTGTTAAATGTTATTTTTATGAGAAATTTATTTAATTAATTTTTTTCAAACAATAAATTTTTCAAAATAAAACTATTAATACATTATAGTATGGTGCAATTATATTGCTTTGTATTACATTTATTTTTATGATATTTCTTACATTTTCTCGCAGTTTCTGAAATGTCGGAAAATATCTAATATTTCTGCCTCTATTATGGTAAGAATATCTTTTAGATGGAACATCGTTAATATTTCTGCGCTTGGCGATTCGCAAAAAAAAAAAGAAAGAAAAGGAATCGTGTGGAGCTGAGTACAGTTCGATCAAACGAGCTTCTTTTGTCCGAAAAGGCTAATAAAATATCCATTTTAAGTCTAATCTATCGAGACGGGAATCAGCTAAACGTACCAATTAATTGCGATAAAAACGCCGCGCCGCAAAGACGCTTTGTTTCAGATATGCGACAGGTTGACGGGATCGTAATCGTCATAATTTGATGAATCATGAATCATGAGCCGTTTCACACTACATAAGCATACTGATGCTAAAACTTGGCCTGATCTTTATATCATAGGACAAGAGGTGGGTTAGAAAAGAAATTAGAAACTTGAAGCAATAAGAAAGGATGCTATTGCCTCACATGGCAGAATGAAGAAATTAGGCAATTTTATATATATCGGCAAACTCCTAATAATGTTTTTTAAATTATATTTTCGTATTCAAACTTTTTAATTCAAGTACAATATATAGTAATATGTAATAAAACGAGATTAAAAATATATGTAGGTTATTTAAAAAATAAATTTTCTCTAAGTTGAATATTTTTCTGTTCATATTTTGTTAGCAATATTTTTATTTCTATATAAAAAGTAATTATAATTTGTCCTATAAATTATTTATTTAAAAATAAATGAAAATAAATGATTTAATATATGTCTTTTAAAAGCGCTCAATCTACTCCGATTAAAATTGGTTCGACTTTAAAAGCAGACATAGATATACGATTTCAAAACTTTTTGCTAAACATAGTTATTCTCAATGTGCGCTAACGTCCTTTTACAAGGGACGTTTCGGAGGTGTCATTTTTGTGATTTTGATGAGTTTTGAATCTGTTGTAGTCTAACAATAAGTTAAAATAAGAAGGAGACATATTTTTTATTTGTGCTGATATAATCGTTAAGGGGGTAAAACATGAAAAAATTGATTTTTATATCTCTGAGTGAATACTGTCAAAACAATAAAGAATTAAAAAAAATTTCAAATAAAGGTTTTGTTTTTAATGTACTTTACAACAATGCAATCAGATTTTTTGAAAATATTATATTTTTCGAAATTTCTTTTAATATGCTACTATTTATTGCATTCATTATTTTAATATACTACTATTTATTGCAATGAAGTAGAAGAATTGCGATACATTTGATGTAAAATTATAGAACATTGTAATAAGAAACGTCTATCGACAAATTGCTATAAAATGGCTTAAGAATATTTAAGTAGCAGCGTATAATAAAAACAAAATCTTGAGCTCTTTATTACTTAGAGAGGAAGGCTTCTTTTTTTCTTCCCCTCTTCTTCTTTCTTTCTTTTTCCTTTTTACTTTATATCTCCCTTTCTTTTCTCTCCTTCTTCTCCTTTTCCTTTTTGTCCCTCCAATTTATTCTACCCTTTTCTTTCTCTATTGTAGCCCCTCTTCTTTATACTGTCTCCTTTCTTTTCTCTTTATTTCTTCTCTTTCTCTATCTCTTTATCTTTCTTATCTTTTTTTATTTCTTCCTCTTTTACCTCTTTTCCTTTTTTTTTCTTCTCTTTTTCTCTTGTTCTTCCTTTTGTAGCCCCTCTTCTCTATACTGCCTCCTTTCTTTTCTCTTTATTTCTTCTCTTCCTCTATCTCTTTATCTTTCTTATCTTTTTTTATTTCTTCCTCTTTTACCTCTTTTCTCTTTTTTTCTTCTCTTTTTCTCTTGTTCTTCCTCTCCTCTCTCTTTTCTTTTCCCTTTTTCTTCTTTTTCCCCTCTTTCTTTGCCTCTCTTTATATCTCCTTTTTCGGTCTTTCCCTCGCTCTTTCTTTCTCTTTTTTTTTCTCTTTGGCAGAATCTCCGGGAAATCCATGTGATCATAGATGAGATCGTTAAATATTCGGTGCGCGTTCTGCTGGGTCTTCTCGTTAATAACATCACGCATCTTGAACATCTTTCCGTACTCATGGGTATTGCAGCTGCGTGCCTATTATATATTCGGGTAGAGCGCAAATCTAGTTAGATTTCATGTAATACTCACGCACAAAATATTTCATTGTAATATAATGTACTTTTAGCCGTACATTACATTATAGAATGTTTATACAACCCCTATAACTAAAGTTAAACTTGCATAGTAAAAATTATCGTATAAAAATATATAAGTTTGATAGTACAATGTCAGATATATTGTACAACATTACTGTTCAACGGTATTATATAGAGGAAAAACATAATCAATTGAGAATTTTAACATTGAGCCATTTTTCTATGCTTTAAGCTATGTAATACAATAACAAAACGACGTGCAATACGCTTAATAAAGTTAAAATGATTTTAGAAACGCCAAATATCTTTGGCAAAAAAGCGATAATGTTCTCCTTGAGAAACTATTAGATATATAAAAGAATTCACTATCTTTCTTTTATTTGGAAATAGAATTAGCCAAGCCAAGTGACCCAAAAAATCTGTAACGTAGAGTAGATAATACAATTCTCTTATTGTTAGTGGATGTTATCAGTATAAGAGTAAAAAGAATATTCTCTTTTAGAAACGGATTTGATTTACAAAAGTCTAATAAATAATGTTTTAATTATTAATGTTGATAGATTATTGATTATACGGTGCTAATGTTAACAAATTTATATGCCTAAATTTAAAATTAGATTTAAAGTTAGATTTTGAAATTAGATATTTATTTGCTCTAATATATATGTATATAGTATATCATATTATAGAATAGACATTTATTTGTCTCTAACCATTGCAGCATGGTCATAATTAGACTGATTAAAAAAATTAAAAAAATGAGAAAAAATACAATGCTCATAATTCAAGAAGCAATTATGGCGGATAATCATAAAAATTTTCAGGAATTGTCTCTTGTCTTTAATATTAGATATTAAATAAGTTTATAATTAACAAAAATATATATTTACTACACTTAAATAGATTCTAAACATATAATCTTTTGTATGAGCGTCTTTTACAAGATATTAAAATTACCCTACAATAAATAGAAACTTAAATATTAGCTTTTTTTGTTGTAATTATCACAAACATTTAAATATATTTTTATCATTTAGGAAATACTTTTTAATAATAAAGAATAGAAATTTTTGGAAGGATTGAGTATATTATAACTGAAAACAGAAAAGTATCTCTAATCGCAATTAAAACAACGATGTTGTGCTTGTCGCATACAGACTATAATATCGATTAGGACTAAAACGAAATTCCGTGTAATCCCTTTCCAGATAATTGCTTCTCCTTGCTTTTGCAGCTGTAATCTCCGGATAATAATTACGTTATTTAGGATTTATGGTAAATTACTCTAACCGGAAAGAGGGCAAATCCTTCACATACAGAATAACATCCCTTAAAATAATAAAAATTAAACTTATACGCTCGCACATATACGCGCGCAAGACATACTCCTCTCTTACTATTGTATATACACGTATACAATACTTGTACCTTTACTAATTTATATATGTGTATGTGTGTATTAGTGATTTAGTCCATTAAAAACCAAAAGTTAAAGCTGGGATATTGATAGTAAGTAAAACAATGTGAGCATGTACTTAATAAATAAAACCGAAGTAATATAAATAAGAAAGAGAGAGAGAGAGAGAGAAAGAATGGATAGGTAAAAGTGGAACGAAAAGAGAGGAAGTCGAGAAAGAAAGAAGAAAAAAAGTGAGAAAGGAAGATAGAAATAGAAGAAAAGAAAGAAAGAAAAGAAGAAACAAAAAAAAGAAAAGAAAGAATAAAGAAGAAAAAGAAAGAGATAGAAAAAGAAAAATAAGAAAAAGATGAAAAAGGAATAGTAAAAGAGAAAAAAGAGAGAGAAAGAAAAAAGAGGGAGAGAGGGCGAGAAAAGAAGACGGAAAAGGGAAAAAACAAAGAAAATTAGAAAAAAAAAGAGAGAACAAAAAAAAGCAAAAATATGATGGAAGATAAAAAGAAGAGGAAAGAGAAAAGACAAAAGAGTGTAAGAAAAGAGAAAAAGAAGAAGAAAGAAGAGAGATAAAAAGTAAACAAGGGAAGGAGAAAAAAAGAGAAAAAGGGAAAGAAAGGAGAGAAGAGATACAGAAACAAGAAAAAGAAAAGAAAAACAGAAAACGAAAGAGAAAAAAAGAAATGAAAAAAAAATTGGAGATTGAGAAAGAGAAAAAGAGAGAAGGAGAGTCGTAAGCAAGTAAGGACAATGTTTGAAGATTGAGTCGCTTGTAGATACGACCGCGCGGCTTATGCGCGAGGCGTACGCCACCACCACCATCAGTATCACCACCACCACGGCTAGGACTGCCACCACCATCAGCACCACCTCCACTTCTACCTTCTCGATCAGTCGACCCCGTGCAACGCGGCACGCCGGTTGCCGCGTGATAATTGTGTCTACGTACGTAGTGTTTTCCTTTGCGGCAAATCGCCGGAATCGTAAAAAGTTAAAATTGTAATTGCTAAGGGTTGTCATCAAGTGGTAAAAAAAAGAACAGGATTACGAAACGAGAAGTGACGAAGATTCATCTCTGGAAACGATATTTTGGAGGGAGGGGGATGAAAAGAGAGCCGAGTTAGTGGAAGCAATTTTGAGAGGTAAACCTCCATATCCGGTGCGTGTATATTGCGCACGGGAGTATGTATAGGATGAAAGATTAGGATGAGTTTAGAAGGCAGAATGGAAGGAGGGGAAAAAGTAAAGAAAGAGAAGAAAGATCGGAAGGATCACGGCAAAAATAATTGCATTAAAGAGTGAAAGTTGTTTGAAAAGCCGTCATTAATGAAAAGTAGCTTATTGCTATTATTATGACTTTATGATAAAAAGGGAAAATCATAGTTCTTATAAAATAGTGCTTAAAAATTACTTTACATGTATTACGACTAATTGTAAGTCAAGAGTGATTATTTCACAAAATGGGGTTTTGAGAAATAGTTTATCACATACTCGTTATGATGAAAGGAAACTAAAAATGCATATAAAAGAGTACTAGTCAATTATTTTATGCAGAAAATGTGTCTTCATGTTCGACAAAATGTTCCTAATAAGGAACATGTGTATTATATATTAAAGGAAAAGACAAGAATGTGAGATATATACAGGGTGTCTCGGAACTGGTGGTACAAGCGGGAAAGAGATGATTCTATATGAAAAAATAAGTCGAAAATGTAGAATAACATTTTCTTATACGAGGCTTCGTTTTTGAGAAAAACGATTTTAAATATTCGTCAGATATGCATGCTACGTCTGGTTTCAACCAAGCTTATGCGTTACCTTTACATACATTTGTGTTTACAAACAATGTTAATATCAAAGGATATTTCGGGGATACATAATAAGTCAAGATGTGTTTACTTTTTAAGAACTTTGTTTTATTCGAAAATTGTTGGAAGTGTTGCCTGTTTTGCCGTATACATAATTGTGCCCTTCGTATTAAATTTCGTAAACGAATTCTTGCGTTTTTAAGAGTTCAAAAACTAAACTTATTTTATAGTGAGCTCGGTTGAGATCAGACATAGCACGCATATCTGACGAATATTTAAAGTCGTTTTTCTCAAAAACAAAGCCTCGTATAAAAAAAATGTTATTCTACATTTTCGACTTATTTTTTCATATAGAATCTCCTCCTTCCCGCCTCTTACCACCAGTTCCGAGACACTCTGTATAACAAAAATTTTTGATGTAGCAAAAGATATAATTTTTAAGTTTTTAGAAATATAGAGTAGTCAGGAAACGTAATCCAATAAAAAAAGAGTAGTTTTTCCAAAAATAAATAAAATATAAAAATAAAATTGAGGTTTTATCTTCGCAAAAATTGAAAAAATTTTGGAAATTTTGGAAAAGCTTAAAAATTAATAACATTTATTCTTTTTCAAAATTTACTAATTTTATATCATATATATATATATATATTGCCGAATTTGTCTCGATTATAATACATAAATATAAAAATACAACAATTTATCTTTTTCTTTTTTTTTTTTAATGAAATAACACAATAATTTAAGTTACTAGAGGAGAGAGAAAGAGAGAGAGAGAGAGAGAAAGAGGAAGGAGGAATCAAGTTTTATTTTTTAGATGACAAGAATTTGGCATTTTTTATTAGATTTTAGTTATGACTATCGCGATAAATTCGATAATACGTATGATAACACGTATATAAGATTGTTATATATATATATATAGATATATATAAAATATATATATATATTACAATTTAAATTGTGTAAATATATTATTAATTTTCCAAATTCAAAAAAACAATCTTATAAAAATCTTTTATTTAACATTTTTTACCTATATTATTGTACGATCATTATTAAGGAATTTTTTCCTTTTTAATTGTTCTGTTGACTAGTATAAAATTTTATAAGATTTAGTCTTTACAATTACACACACGCGAGCGCGCGCACGCATCGCACGCACGCCTGCACGCCTACACGCACGCACGCATAGATAGACATACATTACATTATAAAAAAATAATTTTTAAAATGTTTGTTATTATAATTTATTGCACTTTAAAAACACAGATAAAGTTTTGTTTATAACTTTCTTTATCATATTATCGCAAGTGAATAAAAATCATGCGATCTCTACGATGTATTTTGTACAATTTGTAATTATTATTGGAAAATGCAAATAATATATAGATATAATATTATTTAAACGCATATATATATATATATATAATGAAAATCTAATTTATAATCAATTTTTGTTAAGATTTTTATAATCTTGGCATTTTATTAATTCTACTTTTTCTTTTGTGATTAATAGAGAATTAATTTTTTTTCACTTGCTAGAAACATGATAAAATTTATACAATAATTTTGACCATAAAGAAAATAATAATCCGAGATAATACTTATATTACATCAATCAATTTTACAAAATAAACACTTACATATCTCACATTTCGTTAAAAAAATGATAACAAAATACATCAACCTAGATGTAATTAAAAAGATCAAATTCTAGATACTAGATTCTACCATCATATTAACAGTAAATAAAATATTAAATAGAAAATATATTAAAGTCGGCTGAATATTATTCTTTCTCTTTCTCTCTCTTCCTTTTTAAGAAAAGAAACTGCATATTTATTAACTATTTATAATTTAAAAATTGGCACGATCAACTTTTTGGTTAAAACAGATTCCAGAGTCTAACGTCGCAAAACTATTCCTTTCCAAAGGAAAGGCTTATCTCTTGTTGACAAAATTTTTATTTAATTTTAATGACGTAACAATTTTCAGGAATAAGTTGCTAGAAATGTGCTAAATTTTATTTTCTAAATAATATAGTGCGTGATGAGTGTTCAATAGAGCTAATAACATACGCTGACGCAGAATCCTATCTTCGGTTCATGAAGCTTTAATGATGATTCGTGGCGGACTGCATTATTGCAATCGACACTGTGCAATATTCTGGTGTTGTGGTTTATGGCGGATACTACAATCGGAAGTAGAAACTGTTTCGCGAAATACGCGAAATTATTATCGTACAACGCAAACAGTTACGTAATGCGATAGTCGGACAACTGTAAATAGGAATGTAATTACTAATATTGAGTGCAATTTACGTGATTAGTAATTAAAACGTGTATGGCCGATTTCATATAAATGCCACTTAAAATTTAAACATGGACATTATTTTTTCTGTCCTTTTCTGACCCTAGTTCCGGAAACATAGAAAAAAAATTTAATGCACGTGCACCGGCAATAATGATTATTTTATCAGGAGAAATATTTTTAAATATATGTGTGAAAAAACATATGTATGACAATAATTATAATCTATTCGTAAAAATAATTTTATATTATACGCGTGAGAGATAATTATTTACGATTTAGAGTTTATATGTGTATTTACAGGGAGTAATTTTATATATTATAAAATTGATGAAAATTAATCGCACATTCTTTCGTAAAAAAAAATAATTTTACATACAATAGTAATTATGTATAAGCAATAATTTTATATTGTGCGCGATAATAATTATTACAAAACGATTTTAATAATTAATAATTAATTAATAATTAATAATTAATCTAACTACAATAACCATATTCTTCTTATTTTACCAAGTTATACTATTTCTTGTTATTTATTACAAGCAATTGTTTCTTAGTAATTGTTCTTTAGTAAATTTATATATTTAGCGCCAAATGTATTTTCCTTTCCTTCTTTTTTTCTTTAAATAGGCTTATTGTTAGAAGTATCGAAAGAAGGGGGTTGTGGTATTTCTCCCACCGCCGGCTTTTCACTCGCTAACTTGTTGAGTCTCTCTCTTGGCAGATACAGTGCCCATGGGAAACGTTTTATGACAATTCTAAATCTTTTATGTGGATATTATTTTTCAATGACCTATAAAAGTTTTGTAGTAAAAAGAAGTATCCGTTGTAATATATTGTTGTAGCATTGTAGTGTGAAATGTATGTGACACTCGTTTTTTATGAAAGATTTATACAATTAAGATTGATATTTTAAGTAATCTAAATATAGATGCCTTAATATCCACATATCTTATTATCTATCGTATAAGAAAATAATAAAAATAGATAAGAAATTCTCGGTGAAATATCGATTGTGTAATATTCAGATCAAATGTGAATGAGCAGCACAATTGTAAAAGAAATGATTTTTTTAGCGAAGTAGAGAGACCACTTTGGAGGAAAGTTTTTTAAAAAGTTTTTTACGTAAACTGTAATTTTTTTAACGCTGCTATTAAAAACGGTCTATTCTTATTGTTTCATAATAATAATTACATTAAATCTCACGTAACGTTACTAAAGTAATTATGTAAAAAATGAGCCATATTTTTATTTTATCTTCTTTGGCGTTTTGAATTCTTGCGCAAAAGCCGATAATTGCGAAGACTGAAGTAATTATTAATGCCAAAATATTTTAGCTTTATGAAAATTTATGTTTTAATGCCGATCTCAAATAGATTTAAACTTCATTAAATTATATTTATCTGTTTGTAATATTGGCGAATTGAAAAATTATTCTTCTTTTAAAAACCGATATCATATACATAGACATACAAGATGATAAAAATCAAGATGATGAAATGTTTTCATGTAGAGTGTTTTATGGCTTTCCATAGTGTAACAAAGTTTTTTTCTGTTCTGTTAAAAAGCAACACGCAAAGTGCATTGAATGTAACTTGCGCAAGATTGACGATTCACTTAAGGGAACTCTATCTCTCAAAATCGTCTTACTCTTCGCCAAAGAATCACTTTCTACTCCCGTCCGCCCATGTTCCTGATACGCCATATGCATAAGAGGAAACTTCTTTCCTATGTATCTTCCTAGACGACAACGAAGACATCGGGATAGGCGATTTCTGAAGCGTGCAAAATCCTAAGAAACTAGACACGTGCTGAAAACTCGACGAGCTTATTTTTGCGCAAAGGACGCTCAGTGAAATACCGCCTGCAAATAATGATGATTAAATAGTTGAACTCTCACAGTGCTACTTCTAGTGATCACGCTCGCGAGAACATCAATCGCGATCGATTCAACAAGCGAGACAATCGTTTCTTATCGAATAGAAGAATATTCAATTTTACCATGAGTTTTTGGATGAATTGTCCGTCCTCGTTGTTGCTGTTGCTGTTAGGCCTGAGCCTGCATAGCGCGTGCATCACGCGAGCGAACGTCGCCGGCCAGCATGGTGGCCAGGACAATGGTCACGATGATCCTCTGTTGGTGGAGACTACGAGCGGCTTGATGCGCGGTTTCTCCCGTACAGTGCTTGAACGCGAGGTCCACGTATTCTACGGAGTGCCGTTCGCGAAACCCCCCGTCGGTCCGTTGCGGTTTCGCAAGCCGCTGCCGATCGAACCCTGGCACGGAATCCTGAATGCTACCACATTGCCCAACAGTTGCTACCAGGAGCGTTACGAGTATTTTCCTGGTTTCGAGGGTGAGGAGATGTGGAACCCAAACACCAACATCTCTGAGGATTGTCTCTATCTAAACATCTGGGTGCCACAGAAGCTACGTCTACGTCACAAACCTGAGTCACAGGACAACGCCGGTAATAATGGCATGGCGATATTAGTATGGATCTACGGCGGCGGCTTCATGAGTGGTACTGCCACTCTGGACGTTTATGACGCCGACCTTATGGCAGCGGCCGGCAATGCAATAATCGCATCGATGCAGTACCGAGTCGGTGCTTTCGGCTTTCTGTACCTCAATCAGCACTTTACCAACAGTGAGGAGGCACCGGGCAATATGGGCCTTTGGGATCAAGCTTTGGCTCTCAGGTGGCTGCGCGAAAATGCGCGCGCTTTCGGCGGCGATCCCGATTTGATTACAATTTTCGGCGAATCCGCAGGCGGCAGTTCGGTATCTCTACACCTGATCTCACCAGTTACACAGGGTCTAGTACGCCGGGGGATTCTTCAAAGTGGCACTCTGAACGCCCCATGGAGTTACATGACCGGCGAAAAGGCGAATGAGGTGGCCCGAGTATTGGTAGACGATTGTGGATGTAATTCGACGATGCTGCAGGAAAACCCGGCGCGAGTTATGGCCTGTATGAGGTCGGTGGATGCAAAAACCCTCTCCGTGCAGCAGTGGAACAGTTATTGGGGCATCCTCGGCTTTCCGTCGGCGCCCACTATTGACGGCGTCTTTCTACCTAAGGATCCGTTGGACTTGGTCAGGGAGGCGGACTTCAAAGACACCGAGATCCTGATTGGAAATAACGAAAACGAAGGTAGGGACATCAGTGTGTATGTATGTATATATGTATGTGTGAGAGTGTTTTACAGTGGCATTATTGTGATGCTATTTATGGCCGGTGGCGCGGTTAAGCCACCAGCATACTATATGGCTGGCTTTTTGTGAATGAAAATATGTGTCTACATGGCTTTACATGGCGTTCTTTGGATTACTAGCGGAAAGATGTGAAATAAGAGAATTTTTATAAATCTTTTAGATTTTTTAATTACGATTATTTTAATATGTTGATAATTCAATTTGTGCATCGAGACTCAGTTTACGATCTAAAAATATGAGTATATAAAAATAATGGCTTGTGAAGATTACATTTATCTATTGACGCGATTTTTCTTCTTATATCACTTTCGATTCAGTAAAAAGAAGTTTTTTTCTGCATAACATATGTATTATGTATATATGTAGGATTCACATGTAATTATTATACATATACAAAATTTGGTATATACATTTGAGACATATTTGATTGAGTTACATTTAAGTTAATTTTTTAATGATCTGTCATTGATGATGTATTTTATTTTTAGCTTTAAATATTTTCTTAGAAATAGATTTCTGAATAAAAATTTTTTGAAAGAGATTCTTCAAATCAACTGCAAAAAAAATTACGTATATCTCTAAAATTTAATTAAAATAAATATCAATTTAATTTCTTTGTATTATTTAATTTTTTTACAGTAAAGCTTAGAATTTGCATTAAATTTTTTTAAAGAAAAAGTAGACTTTGAAATTTTATTTATTAAAATTAATCGTTAAAATTTGATTTGATGCAAGATATACGTTGAATTATTGTACGTGGGGACCAGAATATTCTTAATATATATGTATTAAAATAATTTAAGTGCTCTTAAATGCTTTCAATTTCCCTAGTTTTGTTAATTGTGTCTCACATTTATTGTCATTAACCAACTGTCTTCTCTCTTACTATCACGGATAATAATTTATTCCATGAGAGTTATTTGCTTCAACTTGGCTATTCAAATGTATTTAAATTATATAAATTTGCGTAATGTCCATAGTATAAAAATAGGTAATTTTTTTATTATTTTGTACATAATATCCATAGAGAAAAAAAAAAATTAATCTTTTGAAATTAAAAAATATCTTAAAATATCAATTGTTTTATAAATAATACTATCCCTCTTTTGCCCCTTTTACCATCTCTCTTTTTGTCTATCTGCCTATGTATCTATTTATCTATCTATCTACCTATCTATCCATCTATTTATCTCTGTCTATCTCATTCTCTTTACTAACAATATTTCAAATATTTTATATACATATATTGCTTACCCTTAATTTAATTGGCAATCGCTAAAGTTAAAAAGCTAGTAATTGTGTTGCTAATTGAATATATAACGTATAACATAGTCATTAAAACAAGTCTGATAATGGTACTTATAGTTGATCAAGATTCGAGGTCATCAATTAAGAGTTCCTTATCGGTACATCCTCCAAATCACTAAACTTGCGAACAACTCTAACAAATCAAGTGTTCTCATAAATGACAATAAAAAAAAATTTTAACTAGTTTAATATTTTAGAGATCAATATATTTCGTATGCCTTATTTTAAGCACTGCAAGAAAAGTCTACAAAACATTTTCTTTCTCTGTAACACATATCTTTAGTAATACATATTTCGCTATAGAAAAATGAAAAATATGTGTAAATTTTTTTATGTAATAAATTCTTTAAAAAATTATTGTGATTGCTTTTAACGTAGTTTCCTTCTAAATTCACATAGCTACGATGCTTTTGAATTTATAAAATTTATAGTGTATAAAGAAATTTTTTTCACTATGGAAAAAAAAAATATTAAAAAAGCCTTCAAGAGAAGCTCTTTTTATATTTGTTAAAAAATTGCAGGATAGAATTACATTAGTGTTACAAAATTCTAACCGATTGAGAATACCTTTTTGGAATGCGCGTATCAAACTTCAAGCATTGTTCTAGAGAACAATTTAGAGTAGAATTTGAGCGCGTAACACATTCCAAAACCTATGAACATCAATCGTGTAGCATGATTTTGAAAAATCTAATTTAGCGCACTATTATACGAGCGCATTGACTATCCTTTGAGAGGTGTTTTCATTCTTAAAGATCTCCGTTTCGAGATAAAACAGAGCTCGATGCTTGTATTAGAGACGTCTTTAGAGAAACTAGACAAAGTCTCATTAAGATCAATTTTTGAGTTATCTTGACTAGAATCGATGTACAATGGTACATAAATGGACTTAATTCATGAGAATCTAATTCTTAGATTTGAAAGAGAAGGCTATAGACTACTCCAAGCTCTTTCTCTTTCTAATTTTGGCGCAACTCTTGATCGATACACGCAGCCTACACATTTACTATAAGCTGTGAACACAAACAGATTTAAGATTTAAAATAAATACTTGTTAAACATATGTATGCTTTAGATTAAAAATAAATGATTAATGAAAAATCGATGATTAGTATAGACAAGGATAATTAGGCCAGGTAAATATAACCAGATTGCACTAATGTTAGTGTTCGAATTAATCTTTTTTTTTTTTAAACACTGTTTCATGTAACTTTCAAATACTACTTACAAAAAAAAAGTTGCAAGACTTTGTCCGTAAAGTACCTCTTGTGGATTTGATGCAAGGTGCGCTCACATGAAATGCGCGACGTCTTGAGCGTAAGTAGAACGAGGTACGTGCAGTCAACCTAAAGGACGAGTGGACGGAAACGAGAGTAAAAAAAAAAGATCAATGCAAGATACGACGAGAGATATAAGCTGTCTCTCCTGCTATAAAATATTTTTTGCTTTAGATATTATCACTATATGTGCTAATCCAAGACAATTTGTATATGCTAACATACGCATTAAATATTCTCCTGGAAATTGTAACATTAATCGAAGTTTTTATGTAAAAATAAATTTAAAAGTAACTTCGACAATTGTTAGCTCAATGTAAAAGCGTTAATGAATAATAATGTAAAATAATAGACACGTCGATGTAAAATAATTCAAAATTAGATATTAAATATAATAAAAACGATTTAAATCATAAAAAATTATGCAATAAAGCAAAAATTTAATACAAATTAGACTAAATTGTTTGGAAAGTTTTCCTAATTATTTAACATCACTTTTTTATTTTTTACATATTTTACAAAAAGAGATTATAAACCTTTCCAAATAATCCAAAAGTATTATATATAAAAAAATGCAAATATATTTAGTATACAGTAATTAAATGCAGTATATATTTAGTTGAAGCTAAATTCTCTTGTTGATAAAAATAAAACAGATTCTGTTTGTTTGTGTGTATTTTATTTTTGTGTGAATATTTTATTTAATATTATAATTGTGTGGGCGCACACAAACATATACACACACAAAAGAGAACGAAAACTGTAATAAACTACAAACAAATAATTTTCATATATTCAGATACACATATCATGATATACCGAAAAAAAACTACATATTGAAATAAAGTTTACTAATGTAAATTATCACATGCACGAAGTCACATTAATAGCAATTATGTAAAAATCGCACTTTATATATCAATATGATTTTTTAATATAATATCTTTTGGATACTGTAAATACATATTATGTACGAATATTCCATATGTTGTTTTTAAATTGACGATGATGCTTTTCAATAATTCAATGCATTCTCGAGCAAAACTATATCCGTATGAAAGATTGTTTCTGTAATTCTTATGTGAATGTTAAAACACGTCAGAATGATGATTAGGGGTTCGGACTACTGTAGAACAAAAACAGAATAAGAAAGGCAGCGCACGCGGCGCGGAAAGTCAAGTTGTCAGACGAATAAGACAAAATAGAAAGTCCGTGGAAACATAACGAAATAAGAAGCGCTCTTCTAGAATGGCATACGAAAGCTTGCCATTTTAACAGAACGCATAAAAGGACATTATTCGAAAGGACTAAGATTTTCCTTTGAAAACAGATTTTTTTATACCTATTTTATTTGATTTATGTTGACGCACAATATATAAAATAAATATATAAAAATATTGCATTATTTCAAATGTATTCATAATGTACATTATTCCAAATATGTTATATAAAAAACTGTAATTACATATTTTTAAAAGATATAAAAGTAAGGCTCCTACACGATTAAAATCAAGTAAAATCCGAGTAAAAAGGCAAAAGAGCCACGCGCAGTTTATCATGTAATTAAAGAAATTCTCTAATTTTTTAATTTATTTTTTGGTTTAAATTATATACCTTTGCGCCCTAAAAACTGCGCGTGGCTCTTTTGCCTTTTTACTCGGATTTTACATATTTTTATTTTGTAATTAAAGCATTTTAAAAAAAAGTTCTGTCGTTTTTAAAAGCTTCTTGAAAAAAAAATTGTTTTTAATTAATAATAGTTTTGTGAGATAATCAAGGGATTGCACATTTATTAATAATTTAAATAAATAAATTTTTCATAAAATATCATTTTAGAAAATAGTTATTATATCATTTAAAAAGCATATTTCAAAAATTTCTTGGATACATATAAAATTACGCGCAATGAAACTATAACAGACAAAATTAATATAGAGAATATAGAGAATATACACATATGCACACACAAGATAATCCTTAATCATTATTATCTTAAATATTATCTTTTCGTATAATAACTATTTTGATGAAAAATACAGTTTACGTATTTATTTGATTTCAAAAAGGACCGATTTTTAAAGCAAATTTCAAGATTACTCTTATTTTTGAATTAATATTTATTTTTATTATAAATCTCCTTATTATATAATTAATATCAATAAAAGACATATGTTTAAGAAATAATTAGATGATTTATTGTTATTTTAAATTAAAAAAAATTATACAAAGATAACAAAATTTAATAATTGAGAACGTTTCTGCGTTTACTTGTAATTCTCCAGTCCGAATAAATATGACATAAAACTGACAAAATCTTGAAACAATAATCAAAACGATGTCATAAGCGACAATA